GAAGACGTATTCAACGAATACGTTTTGATTGCAAAATTTATATAAGACGTGTTCAATGAATACGTCTTCGAAATAATTTATGTAGAAAACGTATTCCTTGAATACGTGTGTTTTATTTTGTTCCACACCTTTTTTTCTTTTTTTTTTTGTCCACTTATTTTTGTTTTTTTTTTTTTGGTAAAAAATTCTTTGTTCTACGCCTAGCTCAAGGGCTCTGCATTATTGGGATTTTTTCAATAATTAAAACTGTCGGTCGTTTAAAGATTTTAGGACTTGTGAATTTGACATGCCTGAGGAAATCCGAGATGTGTATCACGATCTGTAAGCCTGTGTATTTGACAAGCCTGTGTATTTGACGGAGCGATGTGCAGCGTAAATACCTTTTTATTTTTTTTCTTGCAGCGTAAATACCTTTTATAGTCAAGGATATGTGGTATGAATATACTCAATATGACATTATTTACATTACCATTATTATTGACAAGTAAGGCTATGCCATAGTCAATAATATGTGGTAAGATGATATTATTAAATTTGTTTATGATTACTACTAATTATGAAAAATAACTTCAAGTTATAATGAATAATATTATTACTTATAGTTAACGCCCACAAAATGGTTTACCCAGTAATGTGGTGTGAAATTTATAACTGCTTATTGTTGTACCCACCGAAAGATTTATCGAGTAGTGTGGAGTGATGTTTTTATTTGTTTTGTCACTTCTATTCATTAAATTGTTCACATAGTGGTTCGGTGAATTTTTAAGATAATATACATGATTAATTAGTATTTTATAATCATGGATGATTAACTAACAAATATTATATCATTAATTTGTTCCCAACGGTTACATAACGGCTATATTCTAACGGTTACTTATCAACTTATATATATATCACACTACACTTCATATCCTCCCTATATATAATTCCCGAATGAGCTGAGCCTACGTGGCTGCTTCTGGTGCTTCGGAATCTTACTTGGCGAAGAATCATGCTTCGTAGTTAGGTTTGGATAAATAGTATTATATATTAATAATTAATAATCTAGGTCCGGGCATTCCATAAATATTATTTAGTTAACTTATGTATTTTAATATCAATTGTACTAATATAACCCTTTAATTCTTTGTAATTTTGGATAGTGAGTTATTAAGTGACTAATACATCCATGACTTTTGATTTGTTTCCTAGAATTAGCTATTGAATTATAACTGTATTTTAAAAGTTGATAACTTTTATATTTCTTATCGGTTTTATATATATAATATATTAAATTAATCATCTTTTGATGATCTTCGATTTGACATCCATATTGTATATATGAAAAAAATAAATTCTATTTATCTTTATAATAATAAAAAATAATAATATTTACTAAAATTCATTAGAAAAATAAAATTATTTCTCAATTGATATATTTATGTGTAATGCAATTATATGTTGTAGTTAAAAAATTATTATAATATAACACAAGTAAGCCGCACAAATAAATAGTGTCATACTAAATATATTAATATAATTTTTTTTAAAAGATATTTAAATTTTCAACTACCTTTTCTCAATAATTTTAGATTCTAAGAAAAAAAAATTAGCAACCACCCGTGTAATACACGGGCGTTGTCCTATATATAATATATTAAATTAATCATCTTTTGATGACCTTCGATTTGACATCCATAT